ACAACACTTAGAGATATAAGCTAGAGTCTGCTGTTGTATGCCTCAATTAATAAATCTGGACCTTGATCTCTCCTTCTAAAATAGGCTGTGAGTCCTCATCTTTTCTGGAGCAAACACTGTGAGGCACGACAGTGATGGGTGTTATCAGCAGTAGTTCTAGGAGAGGTGCCTGTACAGTGTTCATGCTTTTGTCATTTTCGGAGGAGAATGGAACATCCTCATCCTGTTTTCCCTAGAACTGTGCCCTGTGACCTCTCTATTCAAGACCTTGGCTGGTCTAACCCAGGATCTTTGATTTCTTTGTAAAAGGAAAAATATAATATTAACCTTCTTAAAATAATTTATGGATTTCTTTTCAAAAATAGGTGAAAGTCAACTCAATATTTATAATTTCTGAGCTCACAAGCATTTGGGAACTATTTAGTTCCTTTTATGTATGAAGATTGAGTTTAAATTACCAGCAGCAGTGCTAATAATGCAGTGACTATTATTGCTGTGTATGGGTCTAGAATACCTGAGCTACACATGTTAGAGTCATTCTTTTTTCCAAGGTCCCAAGAGAAAATAGATTCATTGAACAATACCTGAAAAGGAGCAATTTGATGATTTCTCCCTATGTCTCAGTCTACTCTTTTGGAAAGTATACAACAAGGTTGTTGGAAGTACTTCATAAATTAATACATGAAAGGCATCAATAGCTACATTTTTTTTCTGTTGCCTCCTTGTTCTTTGAAGGGATAACGGTGCCAAGGACATGGCCTCCAAAGCTGGCTTTTCTGTATTCAAATTGTGATCCCACTACTAACCAGATAGATAACCATGGATAAATTATTGAGCCTTTCTGTGCTTCTAAAAAAATACTCAGTACAGTATTGTGTGGAATACATGAGTTAATACAAATATTTGGAATAATGCCTGGCACATTATTAATACTCAAGAATTATTAGCTGCTGATATTCATATCATTATTATTACTAATTATTTATTCGTTATGGCTTTGGACCCCAAATTCTAATGCAGTATTCTAAAGAGCAAAACTAAACCACACCGAATTCTCATTTTTCTCCATGCCAGGAAAACCTAATAAACTACCATCCAAACTAGCGAAGGTCTTTGCCTTTCTCCCCCTACATCCAACCATGACTTCTTGGCTCTTATAATTCTAATGTCAATCTTCTAGGGGCAGAAGGAGCACATTGAGAAAGATACCCCAAAAGAACATTTGCCCCCATGCCTAGGAAGAACCTGTCCTAGGTCATTTGTCACTAGGGTATTAGCCCCAAAGCAGGCACACATGATAAAGAGTCCAAAGTGAGCTTTTGAAGGAGAAAAGTTGTTGTCAGTCCACTCATCCATGGCTCATTGGCCACTTTATTTCACAACCTAAGAAAAGAGACATTGCAAAGAAGATTTCCACAGACCACTCTTATTTGTCCAGGCTCTGAGAGTAACAAGGACTCTGAGAGGCCCCACTTCAGTTCTTGCCAATTTTAACACAACTTACAAAATGTACTTGGAGTTGAAATGAACTTCCTCACCCTTGTGGAAGACCATGCCAAATCTTCTGGAGATCAAAGGGTATATTCAGACATTTCTCTGCAACCCATGGACCAAACAATAACTTGCCTGAATTCATTTTAAGAAAACCACTTTATCTAACTCATTAAAAGCTGAAAAAAAATGAATATCAATTGACCAAATGACCAAGGAGTAGAGGAGACCTGGCATACCAGTATTTTCCAGCAGGGCTAACACTATATGCTGCTACGAAATGCAGAACTGGGGCAGACCTAGGGCCAGGTGGAGAACATGTGGGAAGCTGGCGCCAGCCTTCTGCTGCCTTCAGGGACCTTGTGTTTCCAGAGCTTCCAAGTTTTCAATGAAGGCCGAAATCTGGAATTTTATGTGGATTGTGTTGACATTTGCATTTTGGCAAATACTTAAAATTAAAGCAAAACCAAAACAAACTATGCAGGCCAAAGGCAGCCCATCTGATGTCTGTGTGCCTCCAGGCTTGTGATCTCTGCTGTAGATCCTTCACATTGGCCATCTAGATGTCCATACTTTTAGCACTTGGAACATTGGCCCCAAGCCCCGCCATATATATTAGTTTGTAATTTTGCTGAGATATACATCTTCATCCCCAATGCTCCAAGGATGTGATTTACTTAGTTATTGTATGTGCTTTGTTCCCTCTCCAGTTCTTACATTTTACCATGGCTTGTATATTTCTTTAATCAAAGTTGAGTACACAGAATCTCTCATGAAACAAGAAAACAAACAACAATAAAAAATTCTTTTCATAAAAAATTAAAATGGAGCACAGGAGTGGACGGGGGAAGGGAGTTAGTTACCCTGTGATTGTTGGAAATAGAAAGGTAGAGTGGAAAGAGCTACTGAATGAATAACTGGTAACTAGAGGTTTTCAAGGTTGATATAGCAGTCAGTGAGGGGAATAGGAGTTTTTGTGGAAACAATCAGCATTTTCCAGATCATGGTAGCAAGAATTAGGGAAGAAGTATATGAAAACAGCTCTTAAAATTTCAGTTATACTTTACTTCATTTAAAGAGAAAATTTATGTGCTACAGAGTAGTTTTTAAATTATTGATTTTTAACTTAAAATATTAATCAAATACTTTTGAGAGAGAAGGTTTCATCCTTATGAATGTCAAGAAACTGTGTGATGCTTTATAAGTTGTCCTAAATTTCCTTGTAGTGTTTTAGAACTAGATTGCTAAGGGCAGTAACCGTCTGTTCTTTTATTTTTGCTGTTTTCTTTCATATTTCTAGTACAATATTTCTACTCATTGGAGGTTCTCAACAAATTGAATGTTTTGAATTATTTAAATGTGTCTTCTAGTTTTAGACATTTATGGGTCAAATATATATTTCTGTTTAACAACTCTAGAAATCATGTGTATGCCTTCTGAAGCAAGGGGTAGCATGCCTTAGAGGAGTATATAAAAATATATACTCTGCCTTTAAGGCTCAAACAATGCAGTCCTTAATTTAAAATCCTTCTCTTTGCATATCTTTATCTTCTTAAAATATTTAGTTGGGAATCTTATGACAGGAGGTTGTTGTTTTTTTTTTTTTTTCCCCCTAAGGTTTTAGTATTTCCTGGGCTAGAAGTGATATGGAATGAAAACAGATTTGAATTCTTTGAATCCAAATCAAAGGTTTTGACTGAAAAAGCCAGCTGCACGTTTAAATCGAAGTATTGGAAGCATCATATTGTATTTGGTTCTAGCTGTCAGGTTGGTTTAAAGATCTTCCAAGGGAGGCTAAATGGAGCATGGTGGATCTTTCAAGCCTAAGGCCGGATTGCTCTAACAGCAAAGAGATTTCTCTCATCTCCAAATCGCCTGCACCATTTCTCCTTTCCCCTGTGGCCTGACTATTGTGTTATCTTCCAACATCTTGGTATATGTTAAGCCAAGAGAGAAGTTCTAGGGCTTTGAAGTGTCCAAATCCCTTTGCTTGTCTGTAAGGTTTCTCTTCCAGCAACAAGACATTTGAAAACAGAGGAACCAGTAGCCCTGATAGCACAGGACTTGTCCAACCGAGAAGAATTTGATTGGTGGAGAGTGGAATTTTGATCCTAATTGACATAGGGCCCTCTGCCTTGTGAGTCCTTTCTTTTGTGAAGCCTTTCTTTGGAAGCATTATGCTTCTCAAGTGGGAAATTCTGGGAAATTTGAAAAGAGAGGGATATGGAGAAGCTGATTATTTCCTAAACTTTTCAGAAATCACTATAACTAATGTAGGAAGTGAAAGGTGAGACCTGCATGAATAGTTACTTGGAGGGAGTGTTTATCTTGGGATTGTTCAACAAGAGGCAATCTGTACAGAAATTATTATTTTAATTGATTTTTAATACAAAAATGGGGAAAATTTCCTAAGCAATGTCAATGATTTTCTACATTGCTCAGTGTCCCCAATTTCCCTTGATTATTTTTGGGATTCCTATTTATATATTATCAACAACATTAAACATTGAAGTGTCTTTCTTTCTTTCTTTTTTTTTTTCTCCATGAGGTAACACTTTTATTATCCTATTAGGAACTAGTTACCTAGTTATTCTTTTTTTTTTAGTTCTGGGGATTAGAACCCAGGGCCATATATATATGCCAGGCAAGTGCTCTACACTGAACTACATCCCCAGCCCCTAACTAGTTATTAATTCTTTCAACAAGTATTTTTAAATACCCATTTTGTACAAGGCATGATAATATATATGCCAAAGAGAGTAAAGGAAAATAAATACACACACAAATGTTATTTTAAAATGTACAGATATTATTCAAGAATGTACTTTCCTGAGATTATTTTACAAGTTACTATGATTTACTGACAAAGAGCTTTGTTCTTTGTGAAATAGCAGAAATATCACTTGCATTGGTCCACTGTACCCTGTATTTTGAACTCAACTGTGCTGTTTATAGCTACATCACAAATTTCTTTTACACAAACCTATTTTGTTTTTGTTGAATTCTACTTTCTGCCTCACATACTCCTTTTCTTGTAAGAAGTTGATGAAAGTGTATTTGATGTTTATATCTATAAAAAAGTGGTAATATCCAAACCTAGACAAAATGTGTTCTTTTGACTTTTTATCATTATTTGATTTCACAACTTTCTTCTATCTTTAAAGATTGTAGAATTTTCCTTCCTTCTAATCTTCAAATAAGAATTTATAAATTTATAAAATTAGCAACTTAAATTGTTGTAATTTCAATCTTTTAAAGTAATTTAATAATATCTTTTCAAATAATTAAACTTTCTCTACAATATAATATAAATATGTTAATCCTGTTAAATTAGAAAAGTTGAATTTCAATTACTGTGAATATTGGCTTTTTCTTTGAAGTAAATTCAGGATCCCTGTTACTTGTGTTCTAAGATTTAAATAATTATATTTTTTAATTTGAGGAACTAAATACTACCTTTAAAATATCTCATAAAAATTGTTTTCTTTTCCATATTCTTTTGCTGTTAGGTGATTTGAGCTCCTGGGATCTGCTCATTTGTCTGCCTTCAAGGAAAGCTGATGGAAAACCCTGTGTGTCCAAGGAGGACATGTGCAAGTTAAGTTCACATCAAAGGGTAAATACTCTTAAAATGTGCATGTACTTTCTTGAACACTGCATTTTAGCTACACAATGTTTAAAAGAAAAGTCTTGAAAATTAGAACCATTCTATATTTAGAGAAAGTTCCAATGAGCTGTGACTTACACAGTTCACCATGAAATGACAACAGTTTTTTGTTTAAAGGGATCTTCCCCAGCATCAGCTACTATCGATACTGTTATTGAACTTGGTAGGACTCCAGCTGTATCTAGAAGTCTGTAGCCTAGAGCATGTAGCTGACCCTGGCCACATATTCATCGAAAGATGTAAAGTCTTCATTTTCTAAAACACTGGTCCAGACTTTTTCAAATTCGTATTAATATCTGAAATTACGATAAAATTCATACAATTTGTTATTAACTTTTAGAATTGACATTCACGGTTTACTGCCTATATTGTGTGAACTTTTGTAAATGCTTTTAGAAAGTTAACTAAAAATTAGCCAAGGTCTATTTGCTGGTCACTATGCTAGAAAAATTGATGTGTTGTTGTTACTTATAATTTCTCTGTGAGAAAAGTGTCCAAAGCAAGTTATTTTCCATTTCCTAAGTGGAACTGTAGCAGCCCACCCTGAGTACCTGATTCTGCAATGACAGTTTGGGTTACTCTTGCCTTCTTTTAACTCTGTACTCCCTTGACCTTCTAGCTGAGCTTTCTCTTTGTAAATCTTTGGCCATTCCTTCTCCTCTCTTCATGGCTATTTTATCTCTTGCCACTCTTTAAATGCCCAGGTTCCTTAAAAGCACTCTCCAAATTTCAACCACCATTTGTAGTAGATGCCTTCTTAAGTTTTCATCTAAAATTCAGAGCACCTCGCAGCCTTCAGGCTTGCCTACGCACAGGCTTACTGAGCACTGCCACTTGGACATCCAATATACACTTCAAACTCAGCGTGGTAAAATATGGATTCATTGTTTTCCCCAATAAATTTGCTTCTACTGTTGCATACAGAAACTCTGGACTGCTTCTCACAGCTTCTGTTCTGTTGGTTACAAGCATGATCAATCACTCCATCATCTCCTAAGATCCAAATATGGTCTTCAACCCCCTAAGCCCTTCCTTTCTTTTGTCATCTATATCCTACCAAGAGCCAACTGAGCAATGTGACCCCTAACATTATCTTCATATTGTTTCTACTCTCTACATTTACACTTATGGATCTTTTTCTGGTCAGAAATCAGCACTTTTACCTGGATAATACTAAATATTCATCACTGTTGTTTTGTTTTTTTTTTCCAAAGCAATATTTTGCCCCTGAAATCAATCCTGACCTCTAATGTCAGATGAAAACTACAAAAAGATGAATTGGGCTTGTGATTCTTGTGCTTAAAATCTTGAATAACTTCCCATTAACTCAAGAGTAACATCTAAAATATTTATGGTGCCTTAGCCTTCCAGCAGGAAATATATGCTACATTTATAAGAGTAAAACTGAGGAGAAACTGAGAACTAGACAGAGACGTTGGCAGTGTCAAAGAAACAAAAGAGATTGTGAGGCATCTAAAGTTCAGCAATATCCTAAGGTTTCCACCACCCCTGGTCTTAAGACAAGTACGGAGAAAGAATGTGTCGTTGTTACTTATATGGAGAAAGAATGGTGTAGCCAGAACTTAGTGAGAAAGTGTTCTCACTAGGAAGAAGCTTTAAAGAAATGTAACCTTTGCCAAATTACAGGCCTGAAGAAAGGGAGCCTGAGAGATAAGAACCTAAAACTCTCTCCGCCTAGGCACCAATCTTCTACCACTGCCTTCCATTGGTTCTTGTCAACTTAGTAAGAAAGAGTCTATGGTGCCACCCATAAAAGTCAGCCTGCTGATAACAGCAAAGTGGGAAGATCTGGAAAGGAAAGCTTCTCTGTGAATGGACCTGCCAAATAGTTCTCTTATTTTTTTTTTTCTAGTTCAGATGTTATGCTACAAGCAATATTACACTGATTATAGCTCCTTAAACATCTATGCTGTTTTCTGTAATATACCTTTATTTTTAGTATTTTGTTTGCCTGGAATGTCTTTTCTCTTCAATTTTTACCTCAGTGATTTTAAACCAGGAGATATTTTTGTCTTCCTGGAAATATGGGCAATATCTAGAGACATTTTGGGGTCTGTCACAACCTGTGTGTGAGTGGGGGTATACTCCTAGTATCCAAGGATGCTATTAAATATTGTAATGATGCCCACAACAAAGAATCATGCAGCCAATATGTCAATAGTGCCAAGGCTGAGAGACCACCATGTACTGTCTTTGCTAAGTTAGCCACTTAAGTCTATTAGACTCAGTACCACCACCACTTTCTAAGGATTATCACAGTTCCTCAGGTTTATCTCTAGTGTTTTTTAAAAAGCATCATATTGTTTATTCTTTTTCTTTCACCTGCAAATGAAAGCCAGGTTTCACCAGCAAATGAGGACAAATGAGTTCACACTGGCATTAGTATTGATATTTTGTTGGACCATGCATACCACCCCCCAGCAACTTTCCCATCAATTTCCCCAAGAGGGATCTCCCATATTCTTAGAAGTAGTGTTTGCATGCCCTGTTCTTGCCTCCTGTTTCATCCCACCGTAGGAAAGGCCAGTGAGGAACATTCTATACTAATGTGGATTCTGCTGCTGCTTCTGTGACAGATGTCTTCATCACCCAGGTGCCTACATAGCTGCATAGTTCTCAATATGCTCAAAGTCCTTGCATTTCATCAGTTTCATCTGAACTGGAATTAGATGTAGAACAATGAGAATGTAGCTTTCAGTATCTTTTCCTAAAATTAGAAGACATTAGACACTGGGCTGTCTCTGAGACATTTGCTAGCTTAAAATTTACATGAGAGTCACAGGACATCAGTGGAATATGTGATGAGGACAGAATAGAGCAGAACACCCAGTGATGGCAATGGAGAAATTGTATTAATCAGTGTTATCTGTAGCAATAGAGCCAATAGAATGTGCATGTAATTTTGCATTATTAGATAGGCTGACACAGTCAGAGGCTGGATATTCCCACAATGGTTTTCTGCAAGCTGGAGAGTTGGGGAAACCAGTAGCTGCTCAATTCAAGAAACTGGATGCCTAGGAACATCAGGGACCAATGGTGTACCTCAAGTCCAAGGCTGAAGACCTGGAATGTCCCTGGAGAGTCACTGGTATGAGTCCTTGTCCAAAAACTGAAGAAACTGGAATCTGATGTCCCTGATGATGGTAGCAGCAAAAACTGTACCCACTCAAGATGAATCAAGCTTCTGCCCTTGGTCGAGTTCCCTTGAGCTTCCTCCTTCTGCTTTTTATTTCATCTGGGTTCCTGCCTTATTGGATGGTGCCACACTTATTCAGAGTAGGTTTCCGCACTGTTTACTTACCCACATGCCATTTATTTCTGGAAACAGCTTCACAGACAAGCCCAGGAGTGTGCTTTACCAATTTTGTAGGCATTCTCAATCCATGCAAGTGGACAACCAAGATTAACCATCACAGAAGATGATAATAGGGATGTAGGACAAATAAATTAAGAAGGAAATTACAAAGCACAGTGTCAGTAATGATGAGATTCTGTTTCTAATTTTAAGTTTTGAAATAGTTCTATCTTTATAGAAAAATTACAACAATAATACAAAGTTTCTCACATATCCTTCACTGAACTTTAAGGTTAACATCTTACATAAACATGGTACCTTTATCAAAACTAAGAAATTATCATTAAAACAAAATATTCAGCAAATTGTAAACAATATGCAAACTTTCTCATTTTTTAAAACTTATATGTCCTTTTTCTGTTCTAGGAGTCAATCTAACAGCCCTTATTATATATAGTTGTGATCTTTCTATAGTCTCCTCCAATCTCTGACCATTCCTCAATCATTTTTTTCCTTCATGACCTTGACATTTTTCAAGTACCAGTCAAGTATTTTGTATAATGTTCCTCCATATGGACTCACCTGATGTTTTCTTTTTTTTCTTTCTTGCTTTCTTTTGATGCTGGGGATTAAACGTAGGGCCTCGTGCATACTAGGTGAGCACTTTACCACTGAGCTATGCCTCCAGACTTTATCTGGAGTTTTATAATAATATTACAGATTTTTGAAAGGAATGTCACAGAAATTATATGCCTTTCTCAGTTCATAATATCAGAAGGCATGTGATGTCTGTTTGGCTTTTTTTTTTTTTTTAGTAGTGATGTTAACCTTCATCTGTTGGGGAAGATGGCATCTATGGGTTTTTCCACAGTGGAATTACTGTTTTTCCCCTTTGTGATTAATATATATCATAGGGAATGATACCTTGAGACTGTGTTAATATCTTCTCTTTAAACTTTGGCCCAATAATTTTAATATCTAGAAATAGATCTTTCCCACAATAATTATTATTCTGTTCATCTAATGTCAATTTCCTATTTCTCTCATTCCATTTACAATAATTTACTGGAAATCTTCTATAAGAAAGAGTTCTTTCTATCAATGTGGTTATGTCTGGATTACTTTTATTTAAAAAAATAGAAAAAGTCTCATATGAGAAACTTCTTGTCTTGAGGCTTACTTTTACACTAAATTTATACTGCCATTTATCAAGATTCAGGCCACAAAATCCCTGAGAGGCTTTCCTTGTTGAATGTCTCAGTAACATTATTCTTGGCTTTATCAAATCATTCATTTATTTTTTATCCATTCATTGATTTATTCATCTATCCCTTTGTTCGTTCTAATTATTTATTAAACATCTGTATTAAAAACTGTTTTAGGCACTGAGAATATAGCTGTTAACAAACAACATAGACAAAAAAACTTCCCCACTCTTAGGGAGCTTAGTTACTTATATGGAGATAAAGGGAAAAGAGATCACTAGATAAAAATATGGATTCTTTAGATGACAAAAATGTACTTTTATAGTACTTAGTACTAAAAAAGAAAAATAAACTAAGGTGAGAAAACACTGGGAGGTTGAGTTTTAGATGAGTGGAGGAGATTCCACCAAGAAAGAAACATTTGAGTA